ATGGTGGGGAACTAAGCACTACTGGAACTGTATTAACAGAAAAACTCCATCACATAAAATTTACATAAATAAAGGGCGGGGGGAGACAAAGAGAGAGTTGAGGTAGAAGGGAAGGAGAGCAAGAAATTAAGTGGTATGCTTAGTTTATTGAGAGGCAAAACAAATGCTTTTCTTCAAAGTTATGTTAAACTGCATGTTAAAAATGAATCTACCCTGGCAACTTATTATAACACAACTCTTTCTCCAAGACATAAAAAAGGCCACAATATTGCAATGTCAATGTGATGAATAACTATGGATCCATAACAAATGAAATGAAACAGGATAATGTTCACCTGTCTGTGACCCTTGGTGGATAACACTGCTGTCAAAATAACACTCTATGTAATGTGCTTCAAAGCACAAGAGACAGCTTGAAAACTAATAACTCAAATAAAAAATGCCCAAGAGCACTGTGGAATCTTCCACATACTCTGGTTCAACTCCAGTTATGTCTTGAAGGCCTGTCTGTAGTTTTGAAGGTACATTTAGATGAAACTGTGTGAGTGAGACCACAGAAGCCTTTGGGGAAATATAAGCAATCTAGACATGATCTCCTGTGCTATGTCTGTACTGGGTAAATGTGAATAGAGAAGCCAGGTAATCTGCAGTCTGTAAAGATCAGGGATATATATTTTATATTTCACTCTTTAGCTACACTAAGATACTTAGAATCATCAATGAACCGTTAACTGTACTAAAAAGCTGTAATCATTTTCAAAGCTTGGGAGCAAAATGTGCACTAGAAAGTGACTCTAGATGGAGCTATCCATTGTACCAAAAAAACCAACAACATTACCTGAATCCTTTCTAACTTGGAAGACATTCTTCTTACACTGTGTGCTCAAAACAGAACACACAGTCCTTCAAATAAAGCTGACGTATACTGCATCAACTACCCGTTCTAGGTACACGTAGATTGCATGTATGTAAATACAGTGGAACCTCAAGTTGTGGATGTAATCCGTCCCGGAGGCACGTCCGCAACTCGAAGCGTTCACATCCAGAAGCGCCGTGTCTGCGCACGCGGCGCGATTTAGCACTTCTGCACATGCTCAAAACATGATTTAGCGCTTCTGCACATGCGGCGAAACCCAGAATTCCATAACTGTCCGGTACTTCAAGGTTGCCGTGGGACGTAACTTGAAAAGACGTAAGCTGAAGCGGACGCAACATGAGGTATGACTGTAAAGACTGGGGAGCATCTTCACAAATGAGGACCTTGCTTATCAGTTATATTAGCAATTTCCCATTAATTATATTAATTCCATTTGGGATTAACTGAAAATATGAGCTCCTCAAATCATTTTCTAAAATATTATTTGAACCTCTGTCTTGATGACGGTATGAATATGCTCCAACTTGCCCAAAAATCATGATTTCAGCCTAGTAGTCTTTCTCTCCATTTCTATATAGACAAGTAAGTGTGTGTCTGGAGGAAAGGCACTTTGAATAAAGAGGGCATCCTTGAAGTGATTGCTTTAGTCTGCTGAAGCAAAAATAATAAAATAAAAAATAAAAAATGGGGGGGGAATCTTTTGGCACCTTCAGACTATATTTGGCATCACCATTTGGTATCCTGCCCCATAATACTGTCTCACCAACATATCAGAAGTTCTGCAGCTAGCATGAAAGGAACCCCATCTCCCTCACCCTCCACTCCCCACCCCTTGCCTTCAAACTCCACCCCACATCTCTATTCCAAACCCACCCACTATCCTCCAACTATCTCCTGTTCCTAAAAGACCTCAAGTCTCTGTAAAAAAAAAAAAGAAGGTGTTGTGCACAATGTAGCAGGCAGTGAAATAACAAAACGCTCACCAGTCCATGCAGTGTAGTGGATGGCAAGTGCTGCTAGCTAATGTTGCTGCTCCTCTTCTACGTGGTCATGTTGCCTTTGTGCCAGCCTGCATGGCATCACTGAGCATGTGCGGCCAATTTCCTGTGTATACCTGTTGGGCTCTCAGTTCCACCTCCCTATGCTGCACACTGTGAGGAAATGCATGGCAGCTGACAGGCAGCACTGCACTCGACCCAGGTGACTCCTTTAGTGGACCAACTCAGAGACAAGAAGTGGGCATGGGCTAACCAGGCAGCAGAAGTGGCAAGCACCAGGGGGAAAGCACACCCACCCACCCACTCACCCATCTTCTGAGGGTGATGCCAGGGTCCAAACCTGCACCACAATATCTGTGGCTAGAGGCACTACTACTGCTGTCAATTAAAGCACCAACTATTTTAAATGTGATTTTTGTGGATGACAGCTACCTACTTCATTTGACTGGCGTTTTCACACAAAAAAAGGGACCAGCATCCTGAACAACAGAACAAGAACAAATCTTCTATTCATTTGAATCTATGGTTGTGGCAGTCTAAGAACTGAATTAGGGTGCTAATGTGAATCTGAAAACTATCCTGAATACCTATTATTTGGGGGTGGGTTAATTTTTATAAACAGTTCCAGAATATTTTGTGGAAGGGCTGTTTATTGTTCATCCTAGTCAGAAGATCAGTAGCTCAAGCATAGAGCACATGCTTTTCATACAGAAGGTCCCAATTTTGATCTTTGTCATCGATCTCTAGAGACAGCCGGGAAAGACTTATATCAGAATCTGTGGAGAGCCACTCCAGTTTATATGGAGGGGCAATACCAAGCTACACAGACTACAGTAATGGTCTGATTTTGCATAATACATGTAAATATGTGGTGAGACAGCAGCTGCTGCTCATCTCAGAGTACAGCCCGACTCACACTAACCTCTCTCCACAATGCTGCATATACAATCTCTTTCATGTACAAAAGCAACATGAAAACAGTCCTTCTTAGGTGGTGGTAGTGTTTTCATAATATCCTACAATACTGATCTTTAGAGTGCAGAAAGGTGCCAATAAAAGCTGCAAGAGTAACATAAATGCAGACCTGGGTGCCTGATGCAAGTGATTCATGGTTTCAGGCAGACAGGTGGGGAACCTAGGAAACTGAAGAGAAGTGGTTTCAAATATGGCTGCTTTTGTTAACAAAACAAAAACAAAAAGGATATTTGTTTCTCAGTCTCGTGATTCTTATCTGAATGAAGCCAGTTTCTAACTCACTGTTATTTAGCGTTCCGTCAAACTTTGGACAAACTCTGTTGAGTCCTAACCATGGTGTACTGAATCGAGCCAACTTCAAATTGTTATGTGAAGGTGGTGTGTTTCAATAAATCATAATTAAGAATAGCTTTAAGGTTAGCCACAATGTGGGGAAGAGGGAATGTGTGCTCAGGCTTATTAACATCAAAGCAAACCATAGTTTCATGCAGGGATAGGGAACCTGCAGCCTTCCAAATGTTACTGAATATACTCAGTAGCTCCACTGAGTATTGCCAATGGTTAGGGATTATGAGAGTTGTAGCCTAAAACAAATGGAGGGCCACAAGTTCCTCATCTCTTGTTTAATGTTACGTCCCACTCTAACCTCTTGAATTCATACCTTAAAATTCTATGTCAAACATCAAATGAGAAATTTATGTAGAAAACATAAACTTTTTCAGCTGAAATTTCACAAATTACAGAAGTCTTTGTAGGGAGGGACAATTATGAACAAAACAACAGTAACCTTCTAGAATGTAGCAAATAGTATAGGAGTCTCTTTTTAGGAAAGAAGGTTTAAGTTGCCCTAGGAACTGCAGAACTGAAGGGAACCACATTCTGCAATATACTTCCCAGAAAAAAATATCATGGAAAGGGTAAGTTGAGACTGACCCCAACTATAGGCTATAAAAGACGCATCTCTCTCTCTCTCTCTCTCTCTCTCTCTCTCTCTCTGTGTGTGTGTGTGTGTGTGTGTGGAGGGGGGGTGCTTTCTCCCTCTTTACCAGAAAAAGCCACCTCCAAGTGGTACCAAACAGAGGCACACTTTGGCCCCATTCACTGGCCAGAGGATTTCTGTGTTGTAGGTTTTGTTGTGGTTTTGCAGTCTTGAAGATCAATCATTTGAAAGGGAGGCTACAAAGAAATAAAATCCAATGGTCTCAGGTTTGAGCACTGGTGTTTCTCAAGAGAAACAATGAACAACTTTATTTGAGGCAGGGTTTTAATTTATTAAGTCAATGACCCACAGTCTCTTACCATACGTTAAACTATGTTCTTAAGATAGCATTTCACGTGAAGCACAGCTTGTCCTCACTGACAAGGAAATATGCAAATTATATATTCAATTCAGATGCCACACTAAACTAAATTTATGAGCCTGAGTTCTGAAGGATGCATAATAAAAGCAGATAATCAACAATAATAAACAATGGGTTGCTTGATGTATGTACCTATGGTTTATGTTCTAAACTATGGTCAGCACAAAGTATGATTTTGTCAGGAAAAAGCAGCAATGCAAAAGCAAGCTGCAGGTGTCTGGAATGCAAAACACAATGTTGATGTCTGGGACTGTACTATTGGAAAAAGGGGGCAGTCTATTCAGTGTACTGAGCACCGGATGTTAGCTCAGAGTGTCATCTGACCTGTACTGGAAGTACAGGGGCGGAGTCAGTGTGGTCTTCTGCTGGAGACTGGAGGGTACAGACATGTTTCTCTGTACTGCTGGAATGACAGAAATAAAGAGATGTAAATAGATTTCTGTCTGTCTCTTTTCTCCTCCCTGAGGGAAGCAGGGAGGAGGGAGGAGGGTGTGTCCCTCTCACGTTGAGTGGGATCGCCGATTTGTGACCTTGCCTGTAACCTGCCGGGAGACGCAGCCGGGAAGGTCATCAAGGATCTCGAGCCGAATGCCTGGTGTGAGGCCAGTTACCTCTGACTGCGGCTGAGAATCCTGACAGATTTGGTGTGCTGTCACAACTGTGCTATACATATTTATTATTTCACAACTGAACCCAGCCATCCATTTATGTTACTACTTAAATATTCACACACTTGTTTAGATATTCGACTGATCAAACTGTAAGGCAGAACATCTGAATTGATCTTACCTGTGTATACAGTTTTTGGATTCGAGATACGCCATCCCAGCAGCAACATCTAATGAAAATTTCACTAGCTGCTTGGTTTTTAGCTCATCCTTCTTCTTTCTTAAAAAAGAGAGGAAATCACCTCCTAGAGAAAGAGACAGATGGACAATGAGACATGACAGGGATGATATTCCCATTTATCTCTCATTAGCAATGCCTGGCTGAACAGAAGGTATTACACTTCAGCTGTGTTTTTCAACCAATTTGTCTGAGGCTAGGGTAAAAAACAACCTGAAAATGCAAAGAGCATATTATTGCCAATATACAGCTTCCTTAAACTGCCCTAAATATTACTCTGCCAGAAGGCTAAAATGGCACATTGTACAGCAACACTTCAGCAGTGGTATATCTGGGTAGAATGCTTGATCTCACATCTCCTGTACATAAATGCAATGTATAACTTGAAAAGGAGAGTGCTATTTGCTGGGGATGATTAAAAAGAGGTGCAGTCAACACCTGGTCACTTAAACAAAAATATGGCAGGGTGGGTGGGAAAGGTTGGATCCAGAGTTGCATTTAGTAGAGTTCTACTGGTGCTGGGGAAACTGGGTAGGATATTGTTTTTGCCAATTCCTCCTTCTCCACTATAGCCCCCCACAATCTTCTCCAAGGTGTTGGGGACGAGGTGTTCTTGAAAAGCATGACAGCTGATGCTGGGAGGTTGCGGGAGGAAGGGGACATTGGCAAAATGCTATCTTTTTCCTTCCTCCAAAGAGGAGCCTCTACTGGATCCCTGATCCCCCTTCTCTCAGAGGGGCAAGTCTGGATGCATCCTATGAATGTGACAATAGGCTATTTTGCATAAGGGGTGGTTTCATAATGTGTAATAATTAGGAAGCCTGGGGACACAGGAAGCTGCCTTATACAGAGTCGGCCTTTGGTTCACCTAGGTCAGGGCTGTCCAACAGGTCGATTGCGATCTACCAGTCGCTCAACAACTTTGGGTCTTCCTCCCCAGAAAAAGCTCAACAACTTTGGTCAATCCAATGGATAGATCACTTCCAGGTTTTTTTATAGTGGGAGTAGATCGCAGTCTCTTGGAAGCTGGACTTCCCTGATCTAGATCAAGGTTTCAAGCAGGAGTCTTTCCTAGCAATGCTTGGAGATGGCAGGGATTGACTAGGACCTTTTGCATGCATGTGTGTAGTGTGGCATGCACTGACCCTTTACAGGATAAAAAAAAAAACCCCAAAGACCCATACAACTAGCTTTGTTTCCTTAAGTGCTCTTTGTTTCTTAAATAGCAGCCTGCCAAGGCTCCTTGCAAACATGTCTGGATATAGGAGGGATTCTCAAAAGCAGTTTGTGATAGGGTATTGAGACTGTTCAAAGAAAAATGTCAAAAATCCCACTGGGTGTGCTCAAACCCTACAGGGTCTCTAAAGTAGTTCTTTGGATCCTAGCCAGGGTATCCACTTGCATTTTTATACTGCTCCACCCCAAAGGCTCACTTAGAACTGAGCGAAGAAAGCAGAGACAAGGATAACCCCAAAAGACTGAATGAACATTATCTTGAAGAACCAAGTTCACAATGTAACTCGTAACTTAACAGGCAGTCGTAAAAATAACGGCACAGACTTTCACATCTTAAAGCACACAGGCTGTTGTTTGTGATACCAGCCCAGCCATTATTCTATTCGACGCTTGATTAATTTCAGTGAATCTCTGTCGGGTAAGTTTCGTAGTTTTACACAGAAGCATTCCAATTCCAGATCAGATTTTGGGTGTACTTACATTACAAGAAATAAAGTATGAAATTATTAAGAGATGGGTTTATTAACAGCAGACTCAATCTTCTAATGCTATAGCCCTCAGATAAGCTGCTGTATTTGTGAGAGGGATTAGCATCTTAATTGACAATTCCTGAGTTTGTGTGGGTTTTTTTTGTTTTGTTTTTACCATGTCTTCCAAGGTTCTGGGCTTCTTTAGATAGAAGGACTCAAGAGGTGATGGCTTAATTGCATGTTCTTTAATTAAAGCTTTATAGAAAAACAAGCCAGCCTGCTTAACCCTCTGATTGTTCGCTCACCTATATTGTCTTCTGACAACAGCATGTTATCCATTTTTTTCCTCTGGTAATAGTGTTTTCACAATTCTGAATCATACTTTACTCAAATCTTAACACATTATGGCATTTCATAAAAGCCTGAGAGTAGGTGAATAAAATTCAAACTGTCGTGGACACGAGTCAAACCTATCCCCCCCCCCAAGGCTCTTATACAGAACCTTCAGTGCACAATTACGATGTACTAAAACAGATATGAGAAGAATTGTTTTATAGCTACACAGGCTACATCTACATAAAACATTACGGCATTTGTCGGGTTATGAGATTGTAAGACAGCTGACAGCCAAATGGCATTTGTTGTTTTTTGATGGTAGTGTAGAGAAATGGTCTTCTTCAGAAGTATCAACAACACTACCCACAAGAGTTTCCCCACCTAGTGATAATGTGGCACAGTACCATGTAAATAGCTTCTGCTAATAAATACAGTTACCACATCTCACTTTTGTGCTGTAAGATGTTCAAGGAAGACCGTTACTAGCTTTAGCGTCTGCTGAATGGGCAAGCACAGCAGGTTTAACGCTGCCAGCCTTCATGTCATATTTGCAAACATCTGTGTAATGCAGAGTGGGTCTGCCAACAGGCCTAGTGCCTGAAGCCAGCTACCCGTAGGGCACATCCTTCGGGATCCTGCCATCTTCCATTCTGTGGACATGACCAAGCCAGTGTAGACGTCATTGAGACAGAAGTACGAACACGCTGGGGGTGTGGGCTTGGAAGAGCACATCTTTGTTTAAGACTCTGCCCTGCCATGTGATGCCCCCCAAATCTTCCTGATGCAGCGCATATAGAAGGCATTGAAGCAGCGATACTGGTGGCTGTAAGTTGCCCACAACTCACTTCTATAAAGCAATGTGCTCAAAATGCAAGCCTGGTAGGCCTTCAGTTTGATATTGGTTGTTAGCATCACATAGTCCCATACCCTTTTTATTTTTTAGGATTTTTAGTATTCCGGATACAGTGGAGATGTATAATTTAACTTATAACCATGCAAGGAAAAATATTCTGCATGAAAATTGATTTCTTATAAATAGATGGTGTCAGGGCCGCCTCAGATCCCAGCTCACAAGAGACCAACGCCAAGTCCACTTTATTTACAAAAGTCTTTATTGAATTACATTGTTTGTTCCACAGCCAAGGCGCGCAGCCCCACGTCTGTTACGCTTAGACCGCTGAAGTCCCCTCTGAATCAGTCCCGCCTCTACACCAGTTTAAGAGGCTTGTGCTGGTCCACCTCTTCCTGTCCTTCCTTTTCCGCAGGGTCTTTCTGCCCCCCTGGGTTCCTTCCCTCCTGCTTTCCCCTGACGCTGAGTCCCCAGACGCCTCTTCCCCCCTCCTCCGTGCTTTGGGACCAGGCTCCTCCTCCGGGCTCTCCGCATTTCCGCGCGCCTCCACATTTGAACTTGGCGCGCGTTCGCTACCCCTGACCTTCCTCTTGACAGTTACACTACTCTCTGTACTACTCTCCGCCCCTTCTGGCAGGACGTCTTGCCCCGATCTCCTTCCCCTCTCTGCTTCCTGCTCTGCTTCGTCTGTCACACTGGGAACTCCACCCTCTTCACTCCGTTCCGGCGGGGAAGCCGGCCCCGATCTCCAACTCCCACTCGGGGTTTCCCTGCTGCTCCCCTGCTCCTGACGAGTCCCCCCTGTGGCTCCCCTTGGCCTGACCAGGGGCGCCCCCTTTTGGGAATCCTCCGATTCACTTGAAAGACTCATGGAAACCCTCAAGTCATTGTCATCCTCCTCCTCCTCGTTCCTGGATTCTTCCCCCTCGCTCTCAGTCTCCTCCCTCATCTGTGCCTCTCTCCCTGAACCCCTGACATCCATCCCCCCCTCGAAGCCCCCCTTCCCCCCTCTCGCCCGCCGGGCGCAGGTTTTGGGAGCCGCGTCTCTGCGGGGGTAGATGCTGGATACAGTTCGTCTACTTTGATTTCCTCTGCTTCCAGCTCAGTGTATGTGTGCTCGAACTCGGGTTCGTCTCCCAAAGTGTTCTCGGTCTCCTCTCCCATTGTTACTTCGTCCGGTGCTGTTGGCCAAGGCCCCTCCCTCCACCTCCTGCACCAGTCCTCCTCTGGTTGCTCGTCCCACCAATAAGAGGGTTCCGTCTCCACCCCGAGCACGATCCCCTGGGGGGGCTCGATTCTGGCGTTCCCTCCTCCGCGGACGAAAACCCCCGGAAAGTGCTGGCTGAAAGTGTGGGCGTAAAAAGCCAGTCGTCAAAGTACTCGGCTGGCATGGGCCTGTGTGGGAAAAGGGCATGGAACTCGTCCTTGAGAAGAGGCTCGTCCAAAGCGTAGTCCGGCACCCAACTCTTGGCGCTGGCTGGGGTACCCTCTCTGGCGAGAAAATATTCTACTCCCTATTCCCCCCATCTCGAGTCCAGAATCTCTGTGACCTCGTTGATTGGTTCGGTCCTAGGTGACCTCCCCCTCTTGGGTGACTCTCTGCGTGGTTCTGGTGCCGTCCCTGACTCCTGAAATCTGTGTGGGGCCTTGTAGGGGGTGAGCACCGACCTATGAAAGACCGGGTGCATTCTGGAACCTTCGGGGAGGGCCAGTCGAACGCTACGGGATTGATCCTGGCCTCAACTTGGTATGGCCCTAGCTGCCTGTGTCCTAGCTTCTTCTTAGCTAACGACTTGGCCGGCACCGCTTGGGCCGCTAACCATACCCAGTCCCCCACCTGGATGTCTTCTCCCGCCCTCCTGTGTTTGTCCGCCTGCACCTTATAGGCTTGTTTAGCTAGCTCCAAATGTCTCCGCAGCTCCTCGTGCACCTCTTGCAGTTCTGCTGCGAAATGGTCGGCCCCCTGCGGCGCCCCCTCCCCCGTCGTTACGAACCCCGGGAAGGTTCTGGGATGTCGTCCATTGTTAGCGAAGAATGGCGTCACCCCCGTCGACGCGTGCTTCGTGTTGTTGTAGGCAAACTCAGCCATCGGCAGGTAATCCACCCAAGCTGCGGGTCGCTGATTGGCGTAACATCTCAGGTACTGCTGCATGATAGCGTTGACCCTCTCTGCTT